CATGGCGCTGCCAACTTTTGGCTTCCCCCTGTGCAGTCGCATTAAAAAAAACTACTGTCGCCACTTGGAGATTAATTATAAGAAAATAAATAAGATTAATGAAAATATTTATCGGGGATTCACTCCTGAAGAGTAGATTCACCCCGAAAGATGATTGATGTGGAATCTAATTGATTTGGAGAACAAATTCGTTTTTTTTAAGTTGCAAGGAAAAAATACGAGGGAGTTCTGGCTTAGAGGGTTGATTCTCCATAAAAAATAAGTCCAGTGAGGGGAAAGTGATCAATGTAGAAGCTTTTACCAATTTCCATGGAATGTACGTACATATTCGTCGTTGGCAGAAGTTTGAAAACCATTCTGAAACATTACCCGTACCGAACACTCGAGAGGATTTCAGGTAAATTGAACGTAGGTAAATGCTGTTCTCCACTGGAACACCATGAAAACTAAAACGACTTCCTGCTGGAGGAAAACTGGGGTGTAAAATAAACCGCAGAGACAAATGGCCGCCACTCAAATCTACGACTCTCCCTAGATCGTGACGAATTTTTGTCACACGCTAATGAAGATTGGAAGTAATTTATGATTATTTAAATAAACTTTCATTCTCAATATTCATTCATTCATTTTCCTTTCAGTTTTTCCTTTTTCTTTCAAACTGACGACAAGAAAGACAATGTAATATTAATATGAAATAAATTCAATGGATTTAATAAATAATAATATGCAATTAATTCCTGATAATTAAGTCATCCCTTTACCCTTCGTCCCATTATTCTGATTGATTATTTATTAATTATTATTATTAGATTTTATTGTAAAAAATAATATGAAATAAAAAAATAATATATTGTGAACTGTCGCTAGCACCGATCAGTGAAACCTGTAGTCATTGATCGAGAGAAAATAGTTGAGGCGAAGATTTCACTGATCCCATCCAATTTCCTTGATATTCCCATCGAAGGGTCCTTCCGGTTGGTCAGCCTAAGGATTCCAGAAATTCCAAAGGAGGCCAGAGGGTCTGAGGGACTCCAACTAGACCGATGGACTTGTATTAATTTCATATCCCTTCCGCCAGTCGCGACCGACGCATTCAATCATTAATTTATTGCTCGGCTAATCTCAATGCTTAATATTGTCGCTTCGTAATATTTGGAATATCGTTTAAATGTGTGGGTGGATCACTGAAAATAAAAATTCAATCCAGGATTTCTAGGATCACTAAAATTTTCTTGGAATACTGATACTGATAGTGATGATAAGGACAAGAATATTAAATCGAATATTAAATCGAATATTGAAATGGCATTTTTATCACTCGAATTATTAAAAATTTATTGACGGTAAATTTTTCAGGTTTATGAAATTCTAGTAAAAAATGAAAATTGTGATGAAACAATTAACGCATCTTTTTTGTCAACCGATGTAAATGGAAATATTGTTGTAAAATATTATTGTCTTGGGGTAAAATAGAGAATAGTGTAAACCATCGTAAATTGATTTGAAGACTGATCACGTACTTTTACGAGTCTCATTTCCCCTGTGAACCGCAACAACCTCGAGGAATGAAATCCCCCTCGAGTTTCCCTCGATTTCCATGATCATCCTGGTGATCCAGGGGACGGTAATCGCGTCTTACCGAGGTCCGCCCTCTTCGTCATGTCGAGGGTAAATGGTTCTTGAATCCAGACGCGAGGTATGAAGGTATAACGGAAGACAATACTCCAGGAGTTTCTTGCTACTTGGAATCGGGCCGATTAATTTCCTCCATTCCAAATGGCTCCCCAAGGTGGTGAGTGCTTCAAGCTGTTGAAGATTGGGTGGGGGTCAAGGCGTTCTGGGAAATTGGAAGCTCTTACCAAATTACTGGGTGATGTAGAGGAATCGAGAGTGCCATCATCTCCAGAAATCCAAGTTTCTTCGGGTGGAAAAAATTTTATTCTACCAGAAATAAAAAATTCTCACCAATCACTTAATAAATTACAGAATAATTTTTGCTACACTCCCCCCACTTCAAACTATTAATAATAACAATAATATACCCATTGATATTAATATTCATGATAATTACGGATAAACCGGGTAAAAAAAAATTGTAATCGGAATATTTTTTGCAAATGGTCAAAAAATTTCTAGAAAATTATAAAAAAAAATTCCGAAACAAATTTTTGAAACATTTTTTAAAACATTTACCCAAAAACACAATTGTTTTGTTTCCCGATTTTTTTTTTTTATGTTTCAATAGAAAAATTTTCCGACAAGTTTCCCAGAAATGTTTTGAATATTTGGAAAAAATATTGCGATTAACATTTTTTTTACCCGAAAAAGCTCTAACAATAATAAATTAATTTTGTTTAGAAAAATTTGAACTTGTATAAATTCAATAATTTCGAGTGTCTGTTAGTAATAAGTGCACACCAATTTTTTGACAACCAATTTTTTAATCTGTTAAATTATATCGGAATATGATGTGTGAGTGAAAAAAATAGATAATTCTATTGGTGAATGAGAGAAAATTTTGGGATACCTTGCATATGTAGGAGCGCCTCTTACACGGGGCGATGAGAAGTTGTGGAGATAGTTGAGGGGTTTCTGAAAGGGCAGCTGGTGAGGATACGTGGATGATCGGTGGATGGAGGCGGAGAAATCCGAGATTCGCTGGTTGAAAGGAGTCAGCAATAGGAGATGGGTGGAAAGGGGGTTGTTCAAACCCTTCGAATTTCCGTGCACTAACAACCCCATCGTACCGTCTACGGAATTCCATCTTGCAACATAATGTAAACCAATTCCTCGAGTTTTGTATTATCACAGCGTTATCACTGGACAATCACCGGTTATTAATAAATTTTCAAACCCAGGGGAATGGAAAATTGTGTTTATTCATATGTAACAAATATTTGAGTGAACATTTCATTGAAATAACTAAAGTAATCAATCGAAAGGCTGCGGTCATTTGGAAATAGCCTCATAAACTGAGTGGTAAATGGCTCAGCGCGTTCAACACCCCAGTGCCCATAAACATTTACGTTAAATTATACAAATGGTCTCCCTGTTTGATGCATTATATCCACCTATACAAATCACGTAATTCGAGGGTATTTGTTGGTATTTGTTGGTATTTGGATAACGACGGCATTTTACCATGGGATTATAGCTATTTGGGATGATTCTGTTATTTGAGAAATTGTCATTTTTCAGTCTCAATGTTCAATTCACCTGAAGACTTTCACCATACCTCCATTTTATCCACTAAATTTATACAATAAGTCTATAATAAATATCAGGGTTATTATGTAGTCATTCGTAGTGTGGAATAAACAATTTTTAGATTAATAGACTATTTTATTTTTCTGTTGGGAATTGTTTTTGTTTCAAATTTCCAACATCCCTAAAGTTTCAACTGCTTACCGGCCTCGAACAGCATTCAACAACTTGCTACCTCCCTACCTCACCCCATCACACACCACAAATTTAGTTAATTGAAAACCGAGGAAACTTATCTCATTGTCGGTGATGCTCCAATGGACCCTCGCAAATGAACGATTGCAGGAGCGAATTTTGATGTGCAATAACAAATCTAAGGAATTCACATTGATCCATCCATGATCGAGTCATAAATAATCAAATGGCATTGTAAAATTATTGAATAGTCGAGAGAGACGAGAGATAGAAACTATAAGTTCATAGTTTATCTGTCTTTCGTTATCAGTCACAGATGAGAAACTGGAACTGATAACAAGTGGATTTTTTTCGGTGGAATTCAGTGACGAAATGATGGGGAGGAAATTATCCGCCGGTTCAGTTCGATGGGAATTTTTCTGGGTTCCAGTGTTCATGACGAAGATACTCCGAATAGTGAAGTAAGAATTAATAATTATTCCAGTGACATTAATTTAATGAGACGGGCGTAATTAACTGGAAGTAATTGTTTAATTCAATGGATCACTTGAAATTTCATTTTCAACGGATGATTCAACAGAAAAAATAAATAAGGATTTATTTACTTATTTCTTTAGACAAATTTTGTAATTCAGACAATAATAAAAAGTACATGATAGCAATAATTTTATCAGGTGTCATTCATCAGATACTCTTGTTAAAGATCGCCTCACGGGAAATATATTCAGAAAACTCCCGTCTCATGTAAATGATCCGCCCTGAGCGAAATATTTTGTTGTTCTTCAAAGCAGAATAATTATTCCTGTTTGCAATTTGCAAGTTCAAGATAAACATTATTTTTTTAGTAAGCGCAGCATCTCAATTTGAAAATCGCTGCTTCATATGTCCGTCTTTCAATTATAATGACCCGGGTTAAAAAAAATTGTAATCGGAATATTTTTCCAAATTTTCAAAAAATTTCTAGAAAACTTTGCAGGAATTTTTTTTTTAAACAAAAAAAATCGGGGAGCAAAAAAATCGGATTTTTGGGAAATGTTTTGAAGAATTTTTCAAAAATTTGTTTCGGAAAATTTTTTTTATCATTTTCTTGAAATTTTTGTTTTTTGAAATATAATTTTTTTTAATAATACTGTTATTTTCTTATTTTTTTAATTCTTCAATATTATCAAAAAAACACGCCATCTAAATTATAAGAAAAAACTCCCTATTTGAAAAATTTTTCAAAACTTTTCCCAAAAATAAAATTCTTTTATTTTCCGATTTTTTTTTCCGTTTAATAAAAAACATTTTATGTCAAGCCTTCCAGAAATTTTTTGAAAATTTGGAAAAAATATTCCGATTACATTTACCCGGGCAATAAAATAGTGAAAACAATTGATAATAGCGAAAATAATTGGTGATAAAAAAGAACTTCCGGTTGGAAAATGGAAAAAGGAAACTGCGCTCTCATCGAAATCTGTTATTTTCTCAGTGATCGGCTTGACTTGAATGAATTTGTGCGTAAATTTTACGTATGCGGTACATACGTTGGGAGATGGATTGGTGGGGAATTTTCAGTGGAATTCAGAACTCAACACATACTCAACACATATATATCCATGACAACACACATAAATGGTTCAGTGGTCGAACAAGTACTTTAAGAGTCACTTGTAAACCAGATCCGACACCGGCATACGTTCAACTTAAAATATACAATTAATAAATCAATTAAAACAATCAATTATTTCTTTGAAGACTTACTCTGCACATTTGGTAATAATTTATTGATCCATTAATTAATAATATTTCATTTAATTGAATATTTCATTCACTTACATATGAAATTAAAAAATGGGAATTATTTTTCTTTCTCAGATTCTTTCACAGGAGAATGGCGACGAACGTACGAGGAATTGTTCTCTCAGGAACTGATCTGGCCAAGTAATTACTTTTATAAATCTCAATTATTATTGAATTTGGTCAATTAATTCACCCCTGATTATATGAATTTATTCTAGTCATGATGGGGGTGCAATGGAATTTATTTTGAATTATCTAGCATTCGGTTTTGGAATTGAAATAAAATAAAATTTAAAAAATATTCTCGTGACCTTGTCACTGAATTCCTAAGGCCACGTGTTCACCTACTAACCTAGAGAGAATTTCTATTAATGAAAAAAAATAATGATATCGACTAGGAATTATTTGGAATTATTCCTGTTCACGTTTTCCACAGTAATGCAAAAATTACTACTGAAATTCATTTGTATTTCAGAAATATCAAAATTTTCACAAACTACTTTACAATAAATTAAAGGATTATTAACAATTATTAGAATAAAATTTCTTTTGATCGATTGCATTGGAATTAAATTTAATTACAACTCTGATTTGTCACCCATAAAATATTTTTAAAAACTCCATTTCACATTTCTTGGAGAATTAAATTGAAAAGTTCGTCTTTTTCCATTCCAGGTGACTCAAAAAATTAAAAAAAAAGATAGAGAGCTCTAGAAATTCTTAATGAATTGGATTTTATTCACAGGGAAATTCGGGATGGGCTGACAAATCAAGTGGCATCTCTCCGATCTAAATTACCAGACTACACCCCGGGTCTAGCAATTGTCCAGGTTGGTGGACGTGAAGACTCGAACGTCTACATCCGGATGAAGATCAAAGCAGCCACTGAAATCGGGATAAATGCTACTCACGTGAAACTACCGAATACTACGACGGAGATGGAATTGCTCAGTAAACTTGACAAATTGAACAACGATCCAGCTACTCATGGTATTATCGTGCAGATGCCCCTTGATAGCGTCAGCAGGATCAACTCTCACCTCATCACCGATACAGTATCCCCCGAGAAGGACGTCGATGGGTGAAACATTCAAATAATTTCTGCAACTAAAATTGATAAAAAAAATGAAAAACCAATTAATCCAAGACAACGCGATCCCTTCGCACAATTTTTCTAAAAGTTCTTTTTTCATTTCCCCTTTTCAATATTCGACCCGTTGAAGAATCCTGGACTTGGCAGTTCAAATCCTCCGGGAGCCTGTAATCGATAACGAGTCCCACAGGAATTCGGTGAATACTCGTACGTGACGAGAGTTCTCAGAAAAGTCAAAATACATAAAGATATTTGGGTTATCGTTGCACGATGGAGATGAAAAATTATGCAATTCATTTGATTATGTACAACGAGAGTGATAATTCGACGAAAATAGATGCGATCTTTAGCCTTCATTCGATTATTCAATTGCGAGAATATTTGTACGAGCGGATTGATGAGAAATTCTGATAGCTTTTCACGTTCTTTTTAATTTCACGGAGACAAATCGTTTTTGTCAAATTAATTTACTAACTGAAATAATTGGTTTTAAAAGATTCTCAATATTGAATCAATCAGTAATTAATTATGATTTAATTCTTTATAGACTCAATACAATCAATGAAGGACGAGTGGCGATTGGTGACATGACAGGTTTCCTCCCCTGCACCCCAAATGGCTGCATCGAATTAATAAAAAAGTATGACTTCATGTACCTTCCAAAATTAAATGCCTAACTAATTGTTCATTATCAGGAGTGGAGTGGCAATTGCTGGAGCCAATGCTGTTGTTTTAGGTAGATCTAAAATAGTGGGAACTCCAGTTGCTGAATTATTGAAGTGGCATAATGCAACTGTCACTGTGTGTCACTCACGAACGAAAGACTTATCCCAAGTGGTGGGTAAACGTGTAAAAATTAAATTAAATGAAAAATAAAATTCTCCACTTTTCATAATTTCCATTCCCAGGTTTCACAGGCCGATATTCTTGTCGTGGGAATTGGACAGCCTGAAATGGTGAAGGGATCGTGGATCAAACCAGGAGCTGTCGTTATTGATTGTGGAATTAATGCTATCCCCGGTAAAATTTCAACAATTAAAAATTAAATTAATGCAGTAATTAATGAAAAACGAGTATTTTCCATCCATTCACAATACCATTTCTCAATTTCCACTCCTCCGCGTGAAAAATCGATAATTGAGTAGCGATTGCTGGAAGAAATGTGATCGCTGAGGCAAATGAATTTAAATTACCACTGGATTCTTCCAGACTCAACCAAGAAAAGTGGTCAGCGTCTGGTAGGAGATGTGGAGTACTCCACAGCTAAGGAAGTTGCCTCTTACATCACTCCAGTGCCAGGAGGTGTTGGTCCCATGACAGTTGCAATGCTGATGAAGAATACAGTGATCTCAGCAGAACGTGCAGCTGAGCGTCTGCTCACCACCACCTGGTGCCTGAAGACTCTTCCACTGAGGCCACAAACACCAGTTCCCAGTGACATTGACATCTCCAGGGGTCAGGAGCCCAAGCAGATTACAGCCCTCGCTGGGGAGATCGGTATCTTCCCCAATGAGATCAGTCCCTACGGCTCGAAGAAGGCGAAGATCAGTCTGAATATCCTGAAGCGCCTGGGGAACCAGAAAAATGGGAAATATGTCGTGGTCGCGGGTATCACTCCCACACCTTTTGGCGAGGGCAAGAGTACTACGACCTTGGGACTTGTTCAGGCCCTCACGGCACATCGCAATAAGAATTCAATTGCCACTTTGAGGCAGCCCAGTATGGGCCCGACCTTCGGCGTCAAGGGCGGAGCAGCTGGTGGAGGATATTCGCAGGTAATTAACTTGCAAAATATTGACGAAAAACTGGGCGCGATAAAAATAGTTATCTCAATTTGACACTTGACTGGAAAATTGATTTTACGAATATTATAAAAACATTACCGATCGCGCCGATTTTTCCAGGTGATTCCCATGGAGGAGTTCAACCTCCACCTGACTGGTGATATTCACGCTGTGTCAGCAGCCCACAATCTGCTATCAGCGCAGATCGATGCAAGATGGTTCCACGAATCTACACAAAGCGACAAAGCCCTGTATGATCGGTTGGTGCCGACCATCAAGGGTGTGAGGAAATTCTCAAAAATTCAGCTGAGACGACTGGAAAAACTGGGCATTAAAAAAAGTGATCCTAACAGCCTGACCCCCGAGGAGCAGTCGAAATTCGCGAGATTAGATATTGACCCAGAGAGGATCACTTGGCCGAGAGTAGTTGATCTCAACGATCGTTTCCTGCGAAAAATTACAATCGGCCAGAGTCCAACCGAGAAGGGTAGGACGAGGGAAACTAGTTTTTGTATTTCCGTGGGTTCTGAGATAATGGCGATTCTTGCACTGGCCACCAATATCGAGGACATGAAAGAGAGACTCGGTAAGATCGTCGTGGCGTTCTCAAAATCCGGAGCCCCTCTGACTGCTGATGATTTCGGAATGACTGGTGCGATGACTGTTCTCCTCAAGGACGCCATCGAGCCCAACCTCATGCAGAGTTACGAGGGCACTCCAGTGCTGGTGCACACTGGACCATTCGCCAATATTGCCCACGGCTGTTCCTCAATCATCGCTGATGCCATTGGGCTGAAGCTAGTAGGTCCAGAGGGAATCGTTGTTACTGAAGCTGGATTCGGCTCTGACATCGGTATGGAGAAGTTCTTCGACATCAAGTGCAGGTCTTCAGGGCACGTGCCCAATGCCATCGTCCTGGTGACGACAGTCAGAGCCCTGAAGATGCATGGAGGTGGACCCACTGTCACCACTGGAGCTCCACTGCAGAAGGAATACCTGGAGGAGCATCTGGACCTTGTGGAGAAAGGACTGCCAAATCTTCTCAAACACATCGAGAATGGAAATCATTATGGAGTGCCTGTGATTGTGGCTATCAATGCTCATGCCACTGACACACAGGCTGAACTTGAGATCGTGAAAAATGCAGCGGTGAAAGGAGGAGCTAGGGAGGCTGTTGTCTGTAATCATTGGGCTCAGGGAGGAGCAGGAGCTGTGGAGCTTGCTGATGCTGTTATCGCAGCTACTGAGAAGCCCAGCAAGTTCCAGGTGCTCTATAACTTGGACTTGAGCATCGAGGAGAAGATGCATATCATTGCTGCGAAAATGTATGGTGCATCGGTGGTCGTCTGCAATGACGAGGTCAAGAGGAAGATTGACGGGTACAAGAAATTGGGATACGACAAATTGCCTTTGTGCATGGCAAAGACTTCCAACTCACTCACTGGTGATCCCAGTGTCAAGGGAGCGCCTCGAGGATTCTCTTTGGATGTCAATGATATTTTTGTATCTGCCGGGGCTGGATTTGTTGTGCCCATAATTGGAGAGGTTATGATGATGCCTGGGCTTGCTACTAGACCTGCTATCTATGACATGGATTGGGACCACGAGACTGATCAGATCGAAGGACTCTTTTGAAGTCCGCACTGTCTTTTTTTTTACTACGAGTTCATAAAATTTTTTCTTAAAAGAAAAATCTATACGGGAATTCCTTTTTGTTAACATATAGTACGCATTTATAACAGAATTCTAGATAATTCTGGTGAATTATGTTTATCAGTCAGTCCATGAGGTTTCAGGACTGCTGTGCGGTCGTGAAATCCTGGGGGCGGACTGAATGAAAAAAAATATTGCTCGTGACTCGGCCGAAATAATATATTTCGTCACTAGATCGGGAGAACTTTTCTGACGTTCCCGACGGCCTAGGGGCTGATTATACGATTCAAGATTAATCCAGTGAAAATTGTTTAATAAAATAAGACATTCTTTATATTAATATTTCCATTAAAAAAATGAAATAATCACAAAATAATGGAAATCGTCTACTTTTTTATTTTAGAAATCAATTCATCAATAAAAACTAATGAAAGTATTTACATGACACAATAACCCCTCTTCAACTATGTAATCTTAATAATAGCTCGAAATTTAGCTGACCTCGACCGGGGATTTTCCTCGATCTCCTCATCACTGGGGACGATGACGTGTTTGTGCAGCATCTTCCAAGGAACTTGGGTGATTTTATCGACCTCAGCATGCTCGAAGACCTTTCCATGGTTGTAGTACCTGAGGGGAGAGGTGTTGGCCACATCGTCAGTGACATTTCCAACAAGATGTCTTTTAACAATAGTATCCTCCAGAGAATGAAAGCTAATTGCGATCAATCTACCATTTATCTTGAGATACTTTTCAGCTACGATCATTGCATAATTTATCTCATTCATCTCATTATTTACGAAAATCCTGAGGGCCTGGAAGGTCTTGGTAGCTCCATGGGCGAATCTCCCCAACTGATCTGTCCTCAGTTCTCCCCCCAGGACTGATTCTACGAGTCTAGCCAACTCCCAAGTTGTCTCCAGCTTCTTAAAACTGTATCTCGCATCGACTATAGCTCTTGCTATTCTCTTCGCTGCTTTTTCCTCACCGTAGACCTTGATTATCCTCGCTAGCTCCACTTCAGACGCTCGTTCGAGAACATCAGCTGCTGTTGGATCCTCTGGAAATCGATTCCCATCCATTCTCATGTCCAGGGGTCCATCCTTAGACAGGGAAAATCCTCTTTCAGCCACGTCGAATTGCATGGACGAGCACCCAAAGTCGAACAAAATTCCATCGATAGAATTCGGTTGAACCTGTTGATTAGCCAATAACATTGGCAACTCTGAGAATCTTCCCAGAAGAGGAATCACCTGTCCAGGATATTGCTGAGCCATCTCCTGGGCTAATTGATGGGCCACTGGATCCCTGTCCAGAGCGAATACCCTGATATTCGGTGCAGCTGAGAGAATTCGAGAGGTGTGACCCCCAGCGCCAAAAGTCATGTCTATAAAAGTATTTCCAGAGGATGGTTTCAGGTGCTCAACCACTTCCTTTGCCATCACGGGGATGTGAGGACGACTTTGAAGCTTAGGCTGGCTTTGGGTTGAGTACCTCATCCTTCCTGGGCGCTCTCTCAAAATTTTGAATGATCTGGGAAATTTGCAGAGCAGCTGAAGAGGCTGAAGATAGATTTTAATCGGATTTAGTGTCATTCTTCTTCAGCTTTTTAATGAGTTTCTTGAAACGGGACTGATCTTCCTCGTGGAAATACTCTTGGAGCTCTGGGGTGAGGGCCACGTTGCACTGCTCTGCGGAAAGTCCACTGGCGGAGGCTGTTGATGCCCTGGTGTACAGCTCCGCGTATTGATTCGAAGATAAACGACGTAAACTCTGATAATATCTGTCGCACTGCTCTTGATTAATCTGGGCCTGCTGGATGTCACCCTTCGAGAAAGCGACTTTTATCTGGTCCCTTATGTGCTGGGCTAGATCTCTAAAATCATAATTCTGCAATTAACTCGTGATTCTGCATTCTGCAAAAAATCATTTTTTTGTAAATCATCCTTTCGAAATCAACTCCAAGTCAAATAATAGAATTTAATGTTTATCTCAGATTCATCCTGAATTATTATTAACAATAACCTCCGTCGAACTTAACCTCAAAATCCTCAAGAAAAAAAGGGTGGAAAAATGGCAGAGAAAGAGCGACAACCGGGGGCAATCCCCAGGTGATAAAGAGTATTTCATCCCCTACCTTCCAGTCTTGGATTTATCCAGGGGCCACGATTCCAATAGTTTCAGAAAATTCTTGTAATTGCCGGCCATGATGCAACACCAGCATGTGATTTTGTTGTGGAGGCCATGTTGAAGCGATTAATCGAACGAAATATTTTGGGCATTGCTCATGACAGCCAGCAGCAATTGTTGGGGGCTGTCAAACATTGAAAATGTCAGTGGGATAATTTACCTAAATATCGGAAATAGACCAGAGGATTGTAGGTTATTTGAATTATTAGAGATTTGAAGAGTGAGAAAATAGTTTAGATGACGGCGTTCTGCCGTGAAGTGACAGGTCATGGGGGCCTGCCTCGGCCGTTGCTTTCCAAGTGTCACCGACCCTTTCACCTTCAGGTTAGCCGTCAATAAATTGATTCACCCGCCCATCTGCAGATCATTTTCTACTTTCCAATCATTATTACTCATTAATTAAACAACGTTCGTCTAATTGTTCTGTTTTCAGGTACTCCAGACATACCGGAATCACTCAATCTCCAGAGGAAGAACGAGCTGAGGTACTGACTCATTCTCATTGATTAATTCATTAATTCCGAAGGGTATTTATTTCAATGAAATACCGTTTCAGTTGCAGCAGTATATGAACGGAGAATATACAGACTCTTCGAAAAAATCAAAAACGTGAGTGCGACTGTTTATTTTCTTCCAATTTCACTCCCTCTTCATGCATTGATAATATGAATTCCCTCTGTTCACCGCTGCAATGGACAGTTTTCTGTCATTTCTATCCCTAAAACGTTTCAAGGTAACAATACCAATAATTGTTTAAAATAAATAAACAATAATAACGGATTTTTATTGACAGAAAAATAGCAGAACCCCAGTGTCTTTGGAATTGGTTGAAGACACTCGTTGGACAAGAGGCAGTAATAAATATTTCCGGTTGCACTCTAGTATTGCTGCGTCCACAAGGTAATTAATCATTCTAACGATTTGGCATGTGATTTTAATAAATAAATTACTTCAGCTCGGGTTTGAACACTCCACTGCAGCCCCTGGATGCTAGGACCCTGTTGAAGCATCCAGGCTGTGTCTCCTCGACGACAGCCTCATCCCTGGACCTCGAATGGGAGCACGAGGTTCTCCCTGCCCCCCTTATCGAACTTGATCCACCCGAGAGCACCATGGAATCTCCCTCGAAGACATCGAGTGGTGGCAGCCGACCGTCCAGTTTGACAGCATCACCTTGGTCACGTGTATCAACTCCAAACAGTTTAGAGTGGGATTCAGTGGATGCTGATAATGCCTGTGACCCCGACACCGAACAATTGTTAACAGAAATCGAGAGATTAACCGACAAAACGCTTAAAGAGACTGGCGAATGGACTGGTGCTAGATGATAACGCTTTGATCGTTTCAATTGTTGTATTTTTGTATGGAATTAATGCTGATTTTAAGGACACTCATCAACCATTAAAATTATTCGGAATTATTATCAGGAGAGGGTGAGAAAATATTTAGAGCACTGTTGAAACAAATATATTGGCTATATCTTCGATATTTTAAAGAGCAATTGAACAGCTACATGATATTTTATATTTTATTATAACAAGCCTTGAAGAATTGAAGAAAATCATTCTCCCTAATATTGCAGCATCAGCACTTGGATCACTTCCCAGTCATAAATTCTAAATTTTTACTGTTAGAGTCAATATGATATTCGATGGATTTATTAATTGATCCTGGACACTGGGATTATAAACGTTTGATCCACTTTTACATGTTTAAGTACTGATTTTAATTACAATCGACTATTGAAATGAATAACGATTTCTGTTGTGTAAGTTTGTCGATTAATGCACGTGATTTTTATCGATTATTTCGTACGAAAGCTAATCGTTATATACAATCTTAGAAAGAGGACAGATAAATCAGAGATTATTGAAATAAAATGGTTGTTGGTAATTGTACAACGAAAAAATTATTTTTGTTCAACTAACGATGAATTATAACAAGACGGGGACATGATACTGCTGAGAAAATAAAATTAAAAGGATCACTCTTGTGGCATATCAATAAATTCTAACGTCAATTACTTCCGGATTATACAATCTATCATTCATTCAATTCCGGGGATTAGAACGTCTTGATGGAGACAATCAAGTTACTATAAAGATATTTCTGGTCAGTTCCAGCATCTTTATGGTCAGAGAGCAATAATCTAAACCAGAAAAAGCCTTCGTAACACGAGAAGAATTATTGCTGACACCAGAGAAGCTATGAGAATAGTCCAGAACAAATTGTTCGACGAGGACAGAGTATCACTGTTTTGGGTTCGCTGAGCGAAATTATTATTCGCTCGGTGCCTCTCCATTAGTCTCTGCCTCAATATTTGTTTAAAATTGGCAGTTGGCAAGGAGGTCGGTGCTGTCGTGGCACTGGCTGGCGATTCCTCGGCCTTTAGAAAATAATCCACATTGAAATCGTGCCCTTCTCCCTTCACAAGGAGATTATACCAAAAAAAAAAATACAATTTAATGATAAAGTCAACTTCACCTTCAGTGTTATCGATCCCAAGATGTGCCCCTCTTCTGCAGTTATTGGTTGTGATTTCCCATCCTTTGATAACAAGTCCACGATCTTTCCACAAGTCTCGCACTGCCAACTCTGTGATCTATTGATAAATTATGGAGTAAAATTATTAATTTTTGGTCGTTCTAAATTGATAAATTTGACTGGATTTCAACTTGTTCGTACTTTTTTGCAAGAGTTTGTCTTTCCTCAGGGGTATAATCGAGGGCACCGATAGTATCGTTTCCAGGAGTCGGCATGAATGCAATGAGAGCAAGTAAAGCTGTCCTGATGCTCCAGGAGGGTTGCCACGTCTCCGGATGATGACCAGATATGCTCAAGCAGATTTTTTTATTTATCTCGAATCTTCCATTTGGCTAGAGAGAATTTAATGAATTAATTGGGGGGGGGGGGGGGGGGGGAATTAGGGTCAGAAATTAATTTTTACCGTCAACAAGATTATGTTCGGGGGCTTCATGGGGTACTCAGGGGGAAGAAGGATCCTGCCATGGTAAACACCTCCCTCAAATGGTGAAGATGGTGGTCCCCTCACTGTGAAGTGCCATTCAAAAAGATTTTCCTCTAGGGGACTAGCATAATATTCCTCAGTGGCTTCATGCAATTCCTGTGCCTCTCTCATCAGTCTCTTCACCGCTGATAAAAGCGTCATTATTCAATTAATTTATCTAATCAACATTCATTCCAATTATCAAAGCAATAATTCACCTGGACTTTTGGTGTTGTATTTTCCTTCGAACGCCATTATTTTCTTAATACTTCAGAGTTTGAGGAAAAATCTTGAGAATCACCTGTACACGAAAAATTGTTAAACAATCAATCTGCCACGTACATCATGACGTATTATATGCGACAATTACTGTATACTTCGAGGAGATACTCGAGAGCAATGGACAATAGCTTTGTAGTTTTAATTGGCTTTACGTCTGGAATAACTCAACTGGGGACATCGAGAACTTATAAATGTCAGAGGGATTGACAATTTTCGTAAATTATAACCTGGAATGTTGATTTCTTGTTCGTGACGTACCTGTCACACAATCACGAATACACTCGAAGAGGATTGACCAAAGTAGAGGCTCCGTTATGGGGGTTGGAGTGACCCCAGCGGCATCGTAGTACTGCACCCCAAGAGAGGGAGGGCGCCACACGCAATGGGGGTGTCTGCCCGTCAGTCGACTCGGTAAAACTGCCTCAGTAACAGTCACGCTGTCAGAGGGACCAGTCGACGGGGTGAATTTTATTTTCTGCGGTATGAATGGTTTTTGTTTTTTATTTTTTTTACTGAAATTTAGCCGACTGTAGAACGAGCGGAAGGGGGAACGCGCCCGTTTACAAAAATATAATTTCATTAGTAGTATATATTCAGTATATTGAATAATTTTTTTCATTTGAAATTCCAGAAGATGTGGCTTCCCCGTTCCGCTCGTTCTACAGTCGGCTAAATTTCAGTTGAAAAAATAAAAAACAAAAACCATTCATACCGCAGAAAATAAAATTCACCCTGTCGACTGGTCCCTCTGACAGCGTGACTGTTACTGAGGCAGTTACCGAGTCGGCTGACGGGTAGACACCCCACCATTGGGTGCGGCCCCCACTTTCTCTTGGGGTGAGGTACTACAATGCGGGTTGGGTCAGTCAAACCCCCACTGAGTGGCTCAGTTCTGGGGGGGAATCTCACCCCAAGAGAAAGTGGGGGCCGCACCCAATGGTGGGGGGTCTACCCGTCAGCCGACTCGGTAAGTGCCTCAGTAACAGTCACGCTGTCAGAGGGACCAGTCGACAGGGTGAATTTTATTTTCTGGAACTTTATTTTATTTTAGAATTTTATTTTCTTTTCACTCCCGCTGGAACGGCCGCAAGATATATTGTTAGAGCTGTAAAAATCGAAGAAGAAGAAGCACTCCCGCTGTCAGAGGGACCAATCGACTGGGGGAATTTTATTTTCTGAAAATTAAAAATTTTTCAATTTCAGTGATTACCTCCTCGATTTTCATGTTCCCCTGATACTTTTCGAAAAATTCAAAATTTTTCAATTTCAGTGAATACTTCCTCAATTGTCATGCTCTCTTGATAGTTTTTCAAAAATTTTGAATTTTCAAATTTCAGTGAATACCTCCTCAATTTTCATGTTCCCCTGATACTTTTTCAAAAATTTCGAATTTTCAAATTTCAGTGAATATCTCCTCGATTTCCATGCTCCCCTGATACTTTTCGAAAAATTTAAAATTTTTCAATTTCAGTGAATGCCCCCTCGATTCCCATGCTCCCCTGATACTTTTTTGAAAATTTTCAATTTTTCAATTTCAGTGAATACTTCCTCAATTGTCATGCTCTCCTGATAATTTTTCAAAAATTTTGAATTTTCAAATTTCAGTGAATACCTCCTCAATTTTCATGTTCCCCTGATACTTTTTCAAAAATTTTGAATTTTCAAATTTCAGTGAATATCTCCTCGATTTCCATGCTCCCCTGATACTTTTCGAAAAATTTAAAATTTTTCAATTTCAGTGGATACCTCCTCAATTTTCATGTTCCCCTGATACTTTTTCAAAAATTTTCAATTTTTCAATGTCAGTGAATACCAATTTCGTAACGCAGAAAATAACATTCACTCTGTCGACTGAGGCAGTTACCGAGTCGGCTGACGGGCAGACACCCCAGCTCTGCGCATGGCGCCCTCTTCCTCTTGGGGTCCAGTACTACGATGCCGCTGTACCGTAAGGCCGCTAATGCTGTACCGATATTCGAAATTTCGAAGAATTCATAACGAATTTAATCCTAATTATTCCATTCCTAAACGAGCCCCATTCCTCTAAATTGGGAATTATTCAAAATCATTAATTCATCAGTGAATCAATTAGATCGATTTCCAAATTTCTGCTGAAAAGGCTAGATTGACAAAAAAAAGTCGAAACATTCTTCTCATTCACTTTATTTTTGATGTTGCATTCTTCTTTCGTTAATCTTTTGGATATAAAATTTGTGTTTAACGATGTCACATCTTGATTCTGGGAGGAAAATACTCCATTTACCATTTTTTTTTCAACGCTCTCACCTCTCATTCTCGCTAAATTTTTCTCGCTCACTCTCTCCCCTGCATCCGTCATCCTCGCAAATTTATTCCTCTCAGTACGTGACAATTTTCCCCTTGCACATTAATTTCTCACACTTTTTCAGCCGTCATTCACAGGCAGTTTATTTCTCCGTTCTTCGATTTTTACCCCATGTTCACTTGACTTGCTAATTTTTTTCTCCTCATGTCTGAATGTTCCACATAAGTTGCCCCAATTTAAATCATTACGATTTGCATCAGACTTTTAGTTGACAATACTTCATTAAATCACATCCAAAACGTATGAACACGTCACCCCAAAAGCTCTCCCATTTTTTTAAAATTCCAGTTCACTTTATATTACTCTGCCCACGATCTTGACAACTTCATTATCAAAGCATTCAGAGGCGAATAATTGATATTTCCCCTGGTTCGATGAAAATTCAGTCATCCTCCCTCCATTCGCGGAAAATCTATCGCAAATAAATGTCATTAAATCGATAGTCACTACCTGAGTGTTTCCGTGTCACTATTTTCAATGACATGAAAGAAAAAATCTCAATATATCATGAAATAAACGGAGCGCCTACTTCGCGTGTCAGTGCAGTACCATATATCTGCGAATCTCATCGAATTTTCATTCGATAATTTAATATTTCAGGCGTCTGTCTCAATTCGACAATCTCCGGTGCAAGAAAAAAAATATACTAAGCACCTCTCCTCGACCCCATCGTAGAACATTCCATCGATTCCGATATTAGCTTCCGTGTTTTTATATTACTTATTACACTACATTGACGCCGATTTGAGATATAAAATTCGAACACTTGGACCGTTCGATTATTACAAAATTCGTAGCGCTTTATTTCTTGTTTGCCATCGGGTGCTTTGTTTTATGATTCAATCTTGTAAAATCTTTTCAAACTACAGAGCGCAGCGGGTCTACATGATAATCCGGGTGAATCTACTTGAGCTTACAGCATCATAATTCAATTAACATTATTAATGCCTACCGTGAACAGATTGTAGTCATCAATTTCATATATTTTCGCCTTCCATCCTGATATTTTTATTATAGATTTTATTCTCATTGAAATCAAGAGGAATTTAATAAATTTCAAATGATTAGAGCCATGTAGATTTCAAGTGACACGCATCTCCAAATTCTGATTCAAAAAAAAAAGTCGACTCATGATAAAATTTATCCAGTGATTTACACTTATGGATTTACTATGGTAAATAATTGTTGTGTCTATCTGGTCTTGCCAACTTTATTTTTAAAAAACCCAAACTGCACAGATGGCTTGTTAAGGGATCATTGACGATCGCTCATAAATTCCATTGGGTTTTCACGATATTTTTCTTTAAATTATCCTATCGAGAGAATAGATTCGTAATTGTAAGAAATCACCGTACGTTTAGCGATGATCCAACAATTTCGCGTCTTGATTGTTCATCACTGAGTCTGTTCAACGAAATATGAGTGGATAAGAATGGAATTACCGCCACAAGGCTCAGTACCCATTGGAAACAAATATAAAGGTACAACAATTGAGCATAATCATGGCAATCATGGAAAAACAAATAAAGCTATTCTGCTACACAATGAAATAGAATTATTCATCAAGAGTCATGAGCATGATTCTGTATTCACCTATGGGATTGCAATGAAAATTATAGTAAATGAACCTAAAACATTGATTGATTGATTTGAATGGACTCCATCCTTGACCCTCATTTCGTTATCGATGAACAATCATTATTAATTGATGAGTGTTAGTCATTAATAATTTGTTTCCTTTGTTTTATCAAGTGAAGAAAAATACCAACGACTCTATCTTCTCGATCTCCGTCTCGGCTACTGATTATGGGGTAGAATGACTGGTATAGTCTGTTGAGCACCAGGTGGTGGCTGTGGTTGCAGATACGGCATGTGCTGCGGTGGAATTCCTAGATGATGTGGTGGAATAATTGGACACATCAGTGGATAACTTGGCCCGTGACCCTGCGGAGGAGGTTGTTGATACGATGTTTGGGGAGTGCCTGGGGGATTGTATGCACCAGGCGTATGGGGTGGATTTGGATTTGCTGGTGACTGAGTCTGACTTGGCTGTTGCTGTCCAACATGAGGATGGGGATGTCCATGGGGACCAATGTACTGGATACCAGGATTCTGGGGTCCAGGTGACTCGTGATAATGGGGATGTGGAGTTGCCATGTGGGGTGGTGGAGCCTGAACCATTCGCACCATCTGCTGATACGTTGGTTGACCTGGATAAGGCACCTGGAAGGATGGGTGCAGGGGCCCTGGTGCCAGCAGTGGCTGACCAGTTGCTGCTGCCACCTGCATCTGTGATGCTATGTCTGGAGCACGGGGTGGCATCATCGGTACTGAAAATTTTATTACCTTTGTTACGTTTCTATCAACCACTTTGCAATCATCTAGAGATCACCAGGGAGGGATTTTATCTGATATCATCGTGCTTAGAATTCACCAGGATTAGACTTTTATGAATATTTATAAATTGTAAAAAAATATCACCTCACTGTGGCATTGAAATAATTGAAGAAAAGGGTGGGATAAAAAAACCATGTTCATTGCTCTACGATACCTAGATACTGACTCTTCCGGAACCTCGTGCCAGGTTGGGTCTGCTGCTGGGTGAATGCCGTTGGTTGACTCGTCATCACGTAGGCTGGGGTCATAACAACAGCTGGCATCGTAGTACCAGAGTACTGGGGCGTTTGTGGTGTGTGGGGTCTGCTGGGTGTTGGTGTGCTTGGTGATCGAGGAGTGAAGGGTTTGGCATTTGGATTAAACTCCTTCGCATTTGGATTGAGTGTTGACTTTTTAAAGGCAGTGGTGATTTTGTCAACAGCAGGCTCAGGAATATTCTGCATCGGTGGAGTTGTCTGTACAGGCTGAGGTGGAGTAGTGGATCTCACTGTGACTGGGCCAGGAGGTGGTTTACTCGTGACAACAGGCTCCTCCTGGAGCTGAGGCGTCTGGTGAACAGTTTGATGAGCAGATTGAGGTGGTGTAACAGGTGTCTGCTGGTGCACAGGCTGATGATGAACCTGTGGAATTGTCTGAGGGGTATGTGGCTCCTGATGATGAACCTGTTGTTTTCTTGACATAAGTGGAGTGTCCTGTGAGTTGGATTCTGCCAATTTAAAGTCCGATGAAAATTGGCGTAGGTCGTGGGGCTCGTCGCGTCCCCTTGGCGTTGAGATTTTTCTGTGATCAGGTTTTGGAGTGAGAAGTTCGCCCCTCTGATTCTCCAACGAGTTCTGCTGTTGAAGTGGAGTGTGAGGGGTGTGAGGAGGATGTGGAGGATGAGAAGCGTGAGGTGGATGAGGTGATGGACCACCCTGATGTGACCCAGGAACAGCATTAGATGATGGAAATGGAGCTGGTGGTGCTTTATCCACTTGATAGAGCTGCTGTCGTCCTGGACGCTCTCGTTTATCAACATTCAACTTGTTTGGAGGTGGCTGTTGCGATTGAGATGGCTGTGAAGGCTGCGGCTGCTGCTGCTGTGGTGAAAAACCAATGTGTGTCTGTTGTGGTGGAATAACTGGTATAGATGGTGGTGGCTGAGTCGTTGGAGGTGGTACAAACGGTGGTGGTGTATTATACTGAACGCCAACACCACTCGGTGGCATTCCCATATTGTGAGAGCCTGGATGCTGTCCCTGTCCCTGTCCTTGCTGTGATACTGGTGCATGACCAGAAGCAACCACTGGCAAACTACTCGCCTGAGAGGAATTAATATTTGACGATGGCGATGGCTGATTGAATTTACCAGCTCCTGGGCTCGGCGAGGGTGGTGGTGGATTTGTCTTCTGATATTTTCCACTATTGACGCTATTACGTTTCTGTGGAGGTACATATTTACCATCATTTGCAGGCCTTGTTACCGATGCAAAACGCTCCTCCTCATCGCCGTTCTCCAAGTCGAGACGTGCCTTGTGATTCGGCTGTGCCTCTATTTCATTAGCTATTTCAGCAGCCTTTTGCTCCTGCTCCTTGAACTCCTTCGTCTCCTTACGCTGAATCTGCAGCGTATAACCAGAGAGCGATGGCTCAAATGTCGATTGAACTCCGTATATCTGCTCATTCTTTCTGAACATCTCGTGGGCATCCCATCCATTGGCCCCACTATCGAGGTCGTACTCGTCACCGTTCATTGACATCGGTGCATCCCACGGCTCCAATTCCTTCTCACCTACCATTCCATTGAATTTACTAATTGCTGTGTCAGTTTGGAAAGTGTCTCTTATAGCGTAATCGAGGTCCACGTCTTTAGCTGACATTGTTATAATATCTTGTTGCTTAAATATCAATTTTTCCACAACTGTGTCAACACTTATCTTTCCTGAATTATCCACACGATGTGCCATCTCTAGGACTACGTCAAATTGACATGAGAATGTACGGAATATTCCCTCGTAGAGGGATCCATTCTGGGTTTGAATCTGGAAGCATAAAGATACAATTGAACCACAAATTGTCAGGTAATTAGTAAATTGGGGTAATCATCCTCAAATGCTTAAAGAGAAAATCATGATGTACATTATTCAATTGTTATCGGCATTTATTATGAAATTTCACTCTGGGCTCAATCTATCAGGACAATGCAATTTTCATCTGCGATTATTGAAAATTTGTGCTTTACCTGTACGGTATTACCAACGTGACTCGTTATAGCGTGCATGAAATGTGCATTATTGTAGACACCCTCAGCTGCCACTGGAGTCCTCTCCTGGGGACCCCGGGCCCGCGGGGACCTGTGAATCAATTACCTCATTATCAATTCTCTATCAAACAACACATAATCATCACGAACTTATTTGATATCAATACGAACCTTGTAGGATTGGCACGATTCTTTCTCTTGTTATTCATTCTGCTACCAGACCAAGTATCTTCGCTAGTGTATCGCGAATACTTATCGCAAGTACGCTGAGCGCCTTCTCGTTTCTTAGTGGGGACCGGAATTTTGACAATGTTACCGTACACCCGTGTATTGAAAATTGTCTTTCCAGTTCACAAAAAAAAAAAGTGATTCTCAGCACTCGTTGATAACACCAGTAATTTCCTCCGATATAATCCAACGTACGCCCTGCAAACCTCGGGTTATTAAAACAACTGGATTAACAATTTCGAACGAATAAAAAAAAATTCTTCCTCTTTTTTTCGTCTCTTTTTTTTTTCTAGGTTATAGTGGTGACGCGCCTTTGGGGTGTAGTATCCAATGGTTGAAGAGGCGCGCGACAATAAACACAAATTGGGGATTAAAAATTTTATCTACGAAAGAGAAAACATGGGGAGTAATGACTAGACCAATCTGGGTATTATGGCAATTTGATTGTAGTGAGATAATACCTTGGATACATGAAATTCAGGAATTTGCCTCGACTGGAAATATTTCAGATAGAATGTACATGAGAGGACACGACCAATTAATAGGGGAGGGGGAGGTATATTTTCCTTAATTACATGGTCTTTTTTATTTATGTATCTGTTGAGTGACGTAACTCAACTCTTTCTCACTCTCACTCTCTGTCTCACTCGATTTTTTTTTTCTCAGCAAAAAAAAAACGCCAATGCTACTTCTACCCTCTTTCTCTGGTACTAGATACTAGACAAATAACCGCACACTTCCCATTATTTCATGAATCCCCATTATTCTACCTTTTATTGGTGGTGTGGTCGACGTACCGTTCCAACGGTCTCAGCTTAAACTCTTAAATCTACTCCTTCGGATCAACAATTGTTTCTTTTATTTATTTAATCGCGTGTAACACGCGTCAATGTTGTCCGTACAACACCCACTATTATTCTATTCCAATGGACGATTTATCGAATAATACACGATTAATCAACATGTGGCGAACGGGGAGTGTTAAACTCTCTTGTGCTGAAAGCCCAAGTTACATTTACACGAAATTTTTTCCCGTTTTCTCTCTGTCTATTCCTTTCCTCGGTGAAAAATTCCGGAACAATTATGCAGCCTGTTCCATTCCCCTTTACACCCAACGTTCCACTATGGCTTTTCTCCACCAATAGCATGAGGTATTTGCACATGAGTTACATGGGAATGTACCAGAGGGACGCGCTCACGTATTTGTCATCCCCTATTTTTTAGGCTAGACACGATAATTAGGATAATTATGGTTTTAATCAGGCATTACAGGATTTTTTGTGATGTGTAAAAATTAGGAGACTTACTGATGATTTTTCACAGAGGGTTAGTGACGAGACATTGAGGGGCTGGGGAATTTTTTGGTGGACAATTACACCTTTTCTTTTTGCGAACTCCGGAATGTGTTGGCACCGGAGACGGACTAGCCTCACCCTGCGTACCACTCGTTCCCGCCATTTTATGAATTCTTTCGGTTCAATTTGTTATCATTTCTCTACAGTTTTTATTGGTCATTGGATGGAATAATTTTTTTCGGATTATTATGATTATTTTCTTAAGAGTTTTTGACATCTTCCATTTTGATTTTTTTTTTGTATTTGAAAATGTAAAAAAAATGACAATTGAAATGGAAAGTATGTGGATGAATTTTTACGTATTCACGGTATAATAAATTCATATATTCACATTTATTTACAGCGAATATAAAATTAAAGATTCCATTTTGTTTATCAATATTATTTTTCTTTAATCAGTGATCATTTTACAAAAATCTTTTTTTTTATAGTTCAAGGGAAGAAATTTAGTGAGCGTTTAGAAAATTTTCGATACGAGAATTTTTCAATTACAAAATCACTAATCGTCTTAAAAATTGCAATATGGTTAATGAAAATTGAAATAAAAATATTAGACAGAAATTGAACTTGCGGTGTCATAAATACATTTTTAATGACATTTTCCAATCGATCGGTACTTCTCGATTATTGATATTTTCCATTGAACTCTCGCAATCCGTCATATTTAAAAATAAAGAACACGAACAAACATTATTAATTAATTATTCACATTAATTATTCACATTATTAATTAAGGACTTCGTCCACGCGCACGTCTCGCATCGTCAACATCGTAAATCGCATTGAGCTTTCGTACAACAACTTTAGCACGATCTGTAATAAAACTATCGACTTGTCCAAGAACATTAACAAGTTGTATCATTTTTTCAAATCCACGATTCAATTTCTCCGTGCGCTCGAGTGAATTCTCTCGTTTCCCAATTTTCCGATTAGCCAGAGGTTCCGCTCCAGAAAGTACCTTCGATATTTTGTCCAGAAGTTGTCTATGCTCTTTGGTAAATTCTTCTGCCCTGATCACCCCAGACACCTACGAATAATAACAAATATGACAATTAAATTTGATATTTCTTTAACAATTACTCCCAAATATTTCGAGTGTCAGCAAATATTATTGACAACCAGGAAATTAAGGTCGAGCCTTGAATTCTCGAGATCTTTCCTTTTACATTCAACCATTGACAAACAGTCAGGATGTTTTTCGATAAATTGCGCAATCTCTAAAAACTTACCACAAATATCAGCGTGAGCCACGTAATTGTCACGTACCAGGAAGTCATCATTACTCTCAAATACTTTATATTATATCCCCACAATTTCTTTCATTTGCAAACAATGGATAATTAATTTGCTGTTGCAATTGTCGATGTGCTCGGTGTATAAAAATTATCTGTACTGAATTAAATTCACTCTTGAATGTAAATATTGCTGATGCCGATGCGTGTCGACAGAAAATTTCTGTCAGGTTGACCTCAGTAAAATTGCTGATCATCCATTCTTCAATTCAGATCACGGGATGTCGAAATTTTATTTAAATCTAGACTACGAAACATCCCTTGTACTCCTTCAGCAAATTTCTCCGGAATTGCATTAATTTTTTTATATGACTCTTCACTATTTCAAAATCTTCATTATGTTGATGAGATTTCGGGAATTGATGGCTCACGACTATCTTTCGAACCTGAAAAAATCATAGCATCTCACAATATATCATAAATACCTCATTCAATTTACATTTCCCTTTATTTCCATCATTGTTAATAATAAAAATGAATCCAACATTTTCAAAATGATCACTGAGACAAATCCAGACGATTCCGCATATTTTTTTCATTGTGTCGAATCCAACTCCCGCAATGTCGTTCCCCTCAATTATTTATTAACATTCCATGATAATTATTTTCTGTGGTTATTTTATCGCCGGAAATTTTGCCAGTGAATATTAATTAATTAATTTGGGAATTAATAAGCCTCTCAATTCACAATTGATGAATTGTTTACTGGATTATGAGAAAACAGTTACAACTAGCAATCCATAATTGTTTGATAAAATAATTAAACAAACCTGTCTCACAGGCGGATGATACTTGAAGACATCGGGATGCAACAAATTACAGGATTCAACTAGGAATATAAAAAAATATAAAAAACACATGGTACGACGAGATCGACACATTTTCCTTAACTCACGAAATGATGATATAAGAAACGCGTACTTATTATCTGTTATTGTTTAACGGAACACCGATAATTTTGCAATAGCTAAAGTCTCAACTTCCGGATGCGGAAAATGACATCCGCTGGTGAAAAAACGGAAGGATGAGTTCAGCTGTCTCTTTCCGACGAATCACAACGAATTTCAATTACATTAAATTGTATTTGCAATAATGAATGTGAGAGTATTATTTTTTACTTTGTCTATTACTGTGCTCCTCTCAAATCATCACGTAAGTATTCCTAAATTTTATTATAATAAACTATCGATTTTATCAATTTATTTTTTTTTTTTGACAATAATAGCGAGTTGTGGCCGCACCGGAAGTGAAATGTTCATCATTCAAGTCATCCGATGGTCAATTTTGCAGTCCCCTCAGTTTTTTCGCCGCAAAAGCGATGGGGGCTGTGATAAGATGTGCATCACTCGCCTCACAATTTTTTCCAATCCCCGATTGCATCAAGCCATCACCACCGAAATTAACAATCGTCCAAAAACCGGATTACTGCGAACGAGAAAACGACTAGCACTCAATGGAATTCGACGATTGACCCACGATTGACCCACACCCTACAACAATTATTTTCGTATTCCCAAATTTGTACTGGACTAGTGATAAAATAAAATAACGCAGTTTATTTAAATTATTTAATTTCTTTGATTCCTTTTACAGTGAGTCTATTCAAAAATTGTTTGAGAGAACAGAAAGCTGTTTGAATCCTGAATTTCTACTTGAATTGGATAAAATTATGCCTTGGGTGCCTCAGGGACCGCCAATTGTCGCAATTGTGCATCCAAATTGTTGGTCGTTTTGACAGCAATTTCGACAGCTTGTTTTGTGAATTTGGCGAGATCTTCCTGGACCTTCTCCGAGTTTTTGCTGATCTCCTGAGCGGCTTTGTTGGACTCCTCGACAAGAACATTGAGGCCATTGGTGAGTTTAGCTCCAAGTTGGCTGGCCTGCTCCTGTGCCTGAGGAATTTGTGCATTGATGTCATTGATAACACCAGTGAATTTGTTCTTCACCCCATCCCAGGCCTTCTGAATCTCCGGGCTCTTCGCCTTGACCTGTATTCATTAAAAAATTAACACACATCTACTATTTAATTAAGCAGCATTATGAAGCCTTCAACTTACATCCTCGGAGACCTTGTTGAGCAACTCCTGGAGATTATTAGCGAACGTCGAGCTCTGGGTCTTGAGGGAGTCAAGGGTAGTTTGTCCGTCTTTCTCCAATCGCTTAGAAAGCTCCTGTCCTAGATTAGTGATGCCAGCTTTAGCCTGCTCTATCAAATCCGCCAGTGGAGCTGGTTGACCAGCTGGAGGTTGTCCAGCTGGATATCCAAATGCAACGGCTGCACAGCCAATCACAAAAATAGCACAAGCACTCTTCATTTTTTTATGAAAATAATATTAAAAATCGTCTATTTCACACGATTTTTTGTCAGAGTTGTACAAACGACTGATGCAATCTTTATATTTCCCTCTTACTTTTATAGTTAATGTTATCTCTTAAACTGGGGTCAAAGTGCTGAGTATCAGTCCTCCCTCGACAAAACATTAAATCTTTCACTCTCTCCACAAACAGAGTCCAAGAATCTCCAAGAATCTTAAAGAATTCTCTTGAATTCCCCCGTCATTTACACAACCGATTATATTCATTTATCCGGATATTTGGATATTCATTAGATATCGTCACTCCTGGTGGAATTCATTAAGACATCATCACAATTTTTTTATCCCTATTAACTTTTTACGAACATTCAATTCTCGCTCTGTACGTGGAATATTTTTTTAGCGATCGATCCGGTTTGAGAGCAGATAAAGTGTCGAAAATACTTTTCTGATTATCTTTTTAATTTGTAATGTGCAAAATGTCTGACTGGGTCATCACGTTTAAGACAGGGTCATTAGGTCAATTCATTACATCAGCCGGTTGCAGGAATTTTCTACTCCAATTGCTGATGAAACCCGTCAAGTTGTACTATGAAGCTTAATTTATCGCATTTTCCATTGAACTTTTGGACAATGATGATTATTTTATTTCCACTCAGCAACGACTCGGCGTGACCTCATGTTCAATTATTCCACCACTTTTCTGTTCATTCAATATTTTCCATCTCTCAATAACAATCGATAAGTCTCGGCTATCTCTCCGAGAATTACCCTCGATCCTAAACGATTTGTGACTCATTTCCATCAGAAATCCAATGATAACGGAAAGAATCGTGATAAAAAAAATCATGAGCTTTATATACTTTTCTGAAATTATCTTTATTATCGTCTTTACAACATTCCTTTCTACATGGGATAGACAAGTTTTCGATATTTCTTTCAAATAAAATATGTCACATAGTATTTCGAAATTCATTTCGAAAATAAAAAATAATGATTATCGCGTTGTCTAAGCGGCTGCTGTTCCATCGGTCTTGGGGATGAGTTTGCTGGCTTCCTGTTGAACTCTCTGAGCGAACTCCTGCCCCTGCTTGATGATGTCCTGGACCTTGGGGTCCTGGGAGATGCTCTCGATGCTCTGTTTGAAGGACTCGTAAAGTTTCGTCAAGTCCTCTTGGATTTTGTTGGTGGAGGACGCCTCCTGGGCCGGAGCAGCCTAGATAACAAACGATCAACAATAAATTGACGAGTTAATTCAGTTTATAAATTAATTGATCTTTGATATAGTTTGATGGATATTTTTATGGAGCTTACCTGGCTGAAGCAGACGACGAAGAAGGCAATTGCCATAACGATCAAGAACAAACGTGCCATCTTGGTACTTTCGTTAGTTGTAGAGCTGAGAAAATTACTCGACTTGAAGAGAGTGTCGGAGCCAACTGATGACGAACGTCCTGGGGTTTTCTAGTTAACGACGAGCTGGGGAGATTATTCGATAAGAAGGGCAACGGTCGTGAACTCTGATGTCGTAATTCTGGTTTATTTTTTTCTTCAGTTATTTCATGTGTGTTACCACCACGAGACTATTAAAGAAAATGTACAAGTTCTCAGATTATATACCATGAAGAATCTCGAATTATACATGCGCATCGTGGGAATTCCATTCTACTGACTTGCATTTTTATCGAGTGATAAACTTTTATTTTTTTATTGACGCTAGTTTCTTCTGGCGTCAACAGAATGAAATAGTTCAATGTCGAAAAATCAGGGGAACAATTATTTATTCATTTCAGCCTCAATGTCTCATCTTGAAATTATATTCCTGATGAATCATCGATATCACTGATTGACGTCGTGTGATATGGCGTAATAATGATTGAGACTGAAATTATTTCAACTGTAATTTATTCCGTTTTATCAATAATTTAAATAATATCGTCGATACAACAATGATAAATTACAATTGGTGATTTTTTTCTGATAAATGTTTTGGTGGAATAGTTTATTCAGGTGTTATCGTTATCGTCGACTCCAGGGTATTGCGTTCCTGACGTGATCTCGTTCGTCTTATTTCGGATTTTGTGGATGAGTGGAATGTGTCCAAAATTCCGAGAATGAGTTCGATAACTGGTCGATGATGTGGTGTATCGATGTACTCTCTTATCCGTCGTGGACTTGGTATCTCAATCGATTCTTCGGAGCTGAATGACAAGACAGAGGCTTTGGACTCGCTGATGATTATCAAGACGATGAAACATCCTGACAGGAGTTTTAACAGACGCACACCCTTTGAGATATTCATTTCGTCACGTTTTCTTCTGTCAGACAACTTGAGATGATTACGGTAAACCATCGACAGGCTTATTACTTATAAGAATATCCGTGCGCCAAAACAAAGCCAATGCAGCAAATTTTCAACAAATTGCAAGGTTTGACCTGAATTTAATTACGCAAAAGCCGGTGGACAGAATTCGAAGTAATTCCAACGAATTGGGACTGGCAGAACGTGAAAAATAGGATTGCATCTGTTGAAATTATTTTTTAACATTTTTCTGAATTGAGGTGAAAATTTGTACGTCATAGTAGTCAATTACTTAATCGTAAAATTTTCGAGGGAAAGTGTCAAATTAATACCAATTTTTTAAACCAATTAATTATCTCCCATTCTTTGATTACAATTCCATAGAAATACGTTTTTATGCATATAGAATTCAATAGTTATAATAAATATTCATTGAAGTAAATAGAATTATCGTGTTGGGGGATTGATTTTTACTGGAAATCGTCAACGATATTCTTTCTAGAATTTGTCAACTTCGGAAGTATTCGATTCTGGTTCGTTATCACCCTGAAATAACTTGGCAAAGGATGAAGGCTGGTTCAAACAATTTTTCTCATTACACGGCGATGCTACCATACCGAATGCCTTATCCTTTTCACAATGGCAGTTGCATGATTCATTTGGGAATGTCAAATTTCCATCTGGGTACGGGGATATTATTAACGTTACAGGCTGTCCAATGCTTCCATCCTTTAACGGTATATCTGGAACGGTTTAAAATTGATAATATTACTTTACGAAATCCAGACGAAAAATTCATCAAGTTTTCCTTGTAATTTGTGCAAAAATATCGCAAACGACTGGAGTAAAAAATATTGGCATATCGAAAATATCTGGCATGAATTTCTTATCGATCCACGAAAATTATTTTACAAGATTGATTAACAGTCGTAAAAATATATTAATACATAAAACAATTGTAATGCTATAGATTACCTGTCAGATTGGCCCCAATTCCTCTTAGGAGATTGTACAGTATATTGTTGACCAATTGTATCAATACTGGGTTGGTCGAATTGGTTAACAAGTCTGGGACAACGGTCGGTGATCCATTCGTGCTCGGCTTGGCTTTGGAGGGGTCCGAATCATTTTCATTCGGTACATTCGAATCCGCATTTTCTACACATAGATTGAATTCCTCCGTGTAAATATCAAGTTTTTCTTTCAAAATGGCTACATCGCCATTAACATCCTCAATATCTTTGAGGATGGACTTTATCATTTTCCTGATGACCACCAATGGATTTTTCAGATTATTCAGACAATTTTGAACGACAGGATTAGGCTTTGATCCGGGTGCATCGCCGAAATTATTCAGAACTGGGTATTTACTCCAGTCGATTGAGGAAATAGTGGCATTCAATGCGAGCATACTTGGAAATATTGCAGCCCAGTCTTCAGATAATTCTGACAATGGTATCACAGGCAGTTCTTTCGAATTAGTCGGATCTTGGCCGTCTTTTACTTCTACTAGTACCTTTGGAGACCTCGCCCTTTTAATACTTTTTTTGTTCACTTCAGTGCAATGCAAGTCAATTGTTTCAGGCACTGGCTTAGAACTCTGAAAAGCCGAATTTCATGAATAATGAATAGCGCAAATATTATACATCACCTCGGGCTAGTTATTTACGATATTTACATACTTCTACAATAAGTTTTGTTGCTCTTCCACCAGGAGACTCTTTCACCTGTATCTCTAGTGGCTGCTGTAGAATGACAGTTCTTTTTGCTTTTGAAGGATGACCACCAACTGAACAGATAACTGTCATCACAGCTAGACCGAAAGCCAAACTTGTTGCCGTCATGATGAACTCACTCTAACAATTTGATTTTCCATCAATATTTAATGTGAGTTTATATAATTGCTCTCGTTGAATACTCCACCGATACGACACGCACGAACATGTCATATGAGTAAACAGCATCATGATTAGGAATCTATCTTGACATAATCGTCATAAAATTCACTTCCGCGAGAGTACGTGTGACAACCAGTGATTTACCGCCGAAACATCAAAAATCGAATTCAATAAACGTGAGATTTACAACTAAATGTCGGTTATCGCATTCCTTACAAACAATAATCATTAACTTGCGTGACGGAATAAGACGAAAATCTCATTTATTTCGTGGAATTTATTGCACTAATTTTTTTAATGCGGGACGAATAGACTAATCGAAAAATTCATTCTTACCCAATAATTTCAATGGAAAATCGTGTCATTTCCATAATTTTCTATAATTTATAATTTATTCAAAAGCGATTATAATTATCACTGAAATATTCATTACAGCAATGATCCGAAGATTTCTTGTAAGCAATAGGAATTGGCTGATGAATTATAATGAATATGGAATCTGCTATAAAAGTGAAGAAAAAGTGGATATCATAGATATTTTCAGAATAAATAAATAACTATAATGATCCGCGAGGTATTGCGGTCATTATTGCACGAGTCACAGGCCGGCGTTTTCAGTCAGACAGAAGTTAGAAGAAATGGGGCACGTGATTGGTGAGAATCTCACGACTGGGCCGTCCTTCCGTCTACGACATGGCGACTCGTGGATTTCCCGAAATGCCATTAAAAAAAATACAATGACAATTCACAAACAGTGAAGAAAAGAGCACTTTTCGCACGTCCATATGCCTTATTTTACCGACATCACAATTCTCTGTACGATAGACATGAAAACTAGTTTTTTCCACTTGTATCGTAATCTAGAACTTCCTCGTTTCTCCACTTTTCTCACTAGTTCAAAAAAGTCCGCATTCTTTAACTACTCCAGAATTCAATCGAAGGAATGGGTTTTACACACGAGATATATGTGAATTGAGACATGCGTTTAATGAGTACATTGAGACGCGCGTTTATTGAATACATTGAAACTGGCAAATAAATTATTTTTAATTTTCTGTCGTCATTGGAATATCGTGGCAATTTGTCTCTGCGATATCAGCATCCGGAACATCCTTTCCAAACCTGTGGTCCTGCGATTGGGACAGGAGCTCTATGGGCATCAACGTAGAGATTGTTGATGCTTCTCCCGTTTGGTTCGATGAGATGATTGACGTTCCACCCGAGTCTGAAAAAAAAATCCCATTACACTCATTGAGATTGAACCCTAAACGCACCCGTAAAATTGCTCACTTCATAAATTGTTATGAATATACACAGCTAAAGGCAATCGACTCGACAATTACTCACACCACAAAATTACTTCATGAACTAAATACCTAATTATCCTGAAGAGCTCATGACTTTTTAATGACTCGAGATTTATTGATTGAGAGATTGAGAGGGCAAATCCTGATCAACGATCAAGAGAATAAATCAATATAATTAATTCGTACGGATTTCAAGGACTTGGAATGTTTAAAAAAATTCATAAGCTTACGGAGGCAACACTGGCGGTGTTTCGGGCTGATAGCTGACGACAGGTGCTGGCGGAATTTCTCCCTGGACTTCTACGCAGTACTTTCTACGAATTGGTTCCCCTGAATAGGCAGGATATGCAATCTGGATTGGATGGCTTTTCCCTACCAACTGATTTGTCACTCGCTCTTCCTGAAAGGCAGATTCCTGATCATCAGGGAATTATTGGAATTAACGGAGTGCAGTCATGATCAACTTACCGAAAAGAATTGTGGGCTATTTGCGAAATAATTAATAGAGCGGGCTTCATGGGGCAATGGTATCGCTGAAATCACCGCCAGGGACAGCAGAATTCTCACCCAGTGCAACATCTTGGCGATGGAATAGGAATTTTGAAGATTGATATCAAGAAACTGTCAGAATTTTTTTGTGCGTCTCAAGATATAGACCCTCCTTCACATCCTGTTTAGCAATATTTTCTTCATTTTCCGCGTTTTAGGTATTTAATGCACGTGCCAATTGCAGGAATTTTATGTCCGCATACGTGTGATATTTATGTACCGGGTTCTTCAGGTTTTTGACACCTGATCGCGGTATTAAGTGGTGATAATTTTTTGAAATTCAAATTTTTTACAATTTTCATTTTTGTGTAGCCGGAATTACTCTCATATATAATTTTCATTGTAAAATCAGAATTGCTGTTGGAAAATTATTCAGTGATGAGTCATTTTGAATTTCTTGAATCTTTCGATCTCAATTTTGAAAATTCGAGCAATGGGCAAAATTCCAACTATTATTGAAAGATCAATTATTATTTAATACGAAACGCCAATTTTCTTAAATTTCTCAGGTAAATGAAAAATTTAGTGGACTTTCTTAATTTAAAATTCTGGATTTCAATTCTCATCTATTTCACTGAAAATGTCAATTGACAGAGCGATTGTTAATTATTACTATCGACCATTACGGAAAATTAATTCAAAAGTGAATATTTGCACAGAGTATATTCTCAATGAATACTACAACGTAAATGAAAAAAAAACTTAAAATGAAGTTCTTAAAAAAATGATTAATGGGAAAAAATGATAATTGAAGAGTGGAAAGGATCAGTTGCGGTACCATATGGCCGGATCTTTCTATGTTTCTCGTAAACTTTTGGTCTTACATATCGTTTCTCCCTCGACACCGAGAATTTACGAACCGACGACAAGAGCGCTTTAGAGTCGGAAGCAGAGGGTGAGCGATAAATTTAATTTAGACAGTTTGTGTACCACACAAGCCTTGAGATAGCACCATACTGTCTCCCCGGGTTTGCCTCATGATTTCTCGCCTCTCATTCATTCTCCTTTTCTCCTTCGCACAAGTTACGGGGATATTTTTATAGGCCAACAAAATACTGGGAAGCTGAGTAATGTCTTAATTTATTCACTGAAAGATACGACAGGAGAAACCGATCGAGAAAAAAAGAATGGGACAGCTCCATTTGTAATGATTTAGAAAAAACGCCGGAAGACTCTTCAACGAATTTCAAGGCGAATAAATTATAAATATCGAATTGCGAAAAAAAATCTCGATGCTCCACAAATAACTGGAGATCAATCTATTCAATTTTTAATAATCATAAAAATTCATAATTACGATCTTCTGCTGTTCATATATATGATTTTTATATTTTAGGTGTCAAAATTCTATATGCAATTAATGTTCAGAATGAAAACAGGTTTTATCATAATAATAGGAGAAAAACGGAGATGTCAATGTATCGTTATAAAAAAATAAGGTGAAGCTGGTAGAAAATAAATAATTTCACATTATAATTTATTGAATGATATTTATTGAATGACGATTTATTATTGCCTGCAAAATGCAGATTATCGACAATATTTCAACAGTAATCGGAAATCGACTAGTTCACGCGATACTCATGATCGCACATCATGATCTCCCATCAGCCTTCGGATTGCAAATGATTAAACTCATTATTCATCAGTATTTTCTCTCTAACTTGGACAACAGCGATCAACCGTCGACTGCCACAATTTGCTTAATTGTCCTCTGTCGTCGTTTTTGTACGCATTTTGCCTCGTGGGCACAACACCATCACCCTGAGGATCTTCACTGAAGACGGCTCCTTCGTCGGGCAAACCCTCACCATCATAAGAATCGTGACAGTAGCACACGACGTCCGGACGACTCTCGCGTTGCTCGTAGGTGATGCCTCCAGGTTTGAATCCAGGAAGTGAAGGACCGCAAGGTTGGTACATAGAAGGATCTTCTATTACTGCCGCGTCGTCTGGTGGCGCGTAAATTGTTCCGATAACGCTGCCATCTGGTGCAATCGGGGAATACCCCAAGTCGCTGGAACAAGAAAAAGACAATTAAAAATTAGAAAAATGTGAATCTGTCTACCGTTATGAGATAGTCCTACGAAATCTCTATTCTATGCAGAATGAGAAATCCATATCAGAAATGCTGAATAATAATCCGTTACCTGTAAGTGACATAACCACCACCAGGTGCTGCACCCTTCTGGTCCTTCAGATCGTCGTCCAAGTCATCGTCGTCAGACAGAAGTGCTGCTGATGCGCTGTGAAGATTAGCGAATGCTTCTGGTTTCAACTCAACAACCGGTTTGTCAACGATACTGAGTTTTTCCTCAGGGACATCTATAGCGGCAACGTCCTGACGTTCATCAGTAGGTATTGTTTTGGGACCGAAGTGAAGGGTTTCTTCAGCTGCATGTTTGTCTTTTCCTGGAAGCTCACCTCGGGCAAGATTCTGGAGTGGTTGAAGAAGTTGCTTGTAAGCAATAGCAACAGACACTGGATCAGCTGGGATTTTTGGAGTGCTTCCACTGGCGCCATTGTAAATTCTCTCCTGTTCCTCAAAGGACAGAGGAGAAGCTGGAAGTAAAGAATAATTAGAATTTTCATGATCATCAATGATGACGACTGAAAGAAACAATTAATATTTCCAGGTATTCATTTGCACGACCGCATGAATATTTGGAAACAATATTTGCTCTCTTTCTCATTGAGTTTGATATAAATTATCCATTACCAGAGGCATCCAAATTGACATCGACAATAGCGTTTGGTCCGCGAGGGGATTGTCCAAGGGCGGTTTGTATGCGGGCGGTTTGTCCGCGAGCGGATTGTCCGCGCGCGGATTGTCCGCGCGCGGATTGTCCGCGAGCGGATTGTCCAGGTGAGAACCGTGGGTATCCACCGTTTGGTCCCCTGGAAGATTGACCATATTTGCCTGGTGTTCTGCTGCCAACGCATTCCGGTTGAGTATTTGATAGGAGTAATTCTGCTGGTGGGTTTAATAATCGTATTCCTGGCCTGACTGATAAACCTGATCCACCTCGTCTACCTGATAATCCCAATCTCCCTGGCCATCCTGATGATCCCAGGCTTCCTGGTCTGCCAGACAATCCTGATCCTCCTAGTCTGCTTGATAATCCACGTCCTCCTAGTCCTTGTAGTCCGCCTGGAAGTCCTGATCCTCCCGATCCTCCTGGCCCTCCTAGACCGTCTGGTCCACTGCCGTAAGCACCATATGGTAATGATCCATATAATCCACTCGAGGACTGTCCAACACTAGGAGCTCCAAGTCCTCCTGGTCCACCTGGTCCGCTGCCATCAACGCCAAATGGTCCGTATGGTCCTCTGGAGGTCTGCCCACTGCCGACACCACCAGCACCGGTGAATCTTGATCCTAGGCTTCCTGGTCTGCCAGACAATCCCGATTCTCCTAGTTTGCTTGATAATCCACGTCCTCCTAGTCCTTGTAGCCCGCCTGGAAGTCCTGATCCTCCTGATCCTCCTGGCCCTCCTAGACCGTC